AACCCTAAATCCTAAACCCTAAACCGTAAACCCTGGGGATTCCAGACATCTTGGGGTTTGTCCCGACGCACGAACTCCCCACGTCAGAAAAGCCCATCCATTGCGAGGGGCGAGGGGCGAGGGTTTAGGGCTTAGAGGGCTTATAGGGCTTATAGGGCTTATAGGGTTTGTAGCGCTTATAGGGCTTGTGGGGTTTGTAGGGTTTATAGGGTTTATAGGGTTTGTAGGGTTTATAGGGTCTATAGGGTTTGTAGGGTTGTAGGGCTTATAGGGCTTACAGGGTTTGTAGGGTTCACAGGGTTTATAGGCTTTACAGGGTTTAGGATCCTTCTGAGGGTTATGGGCCAGCTGCAGGATCGAGCTCGAAGTTGCACTTGAACCCTAGAAACCCCAGGCCGACACCACAACTGACAACAAATTAACCAAGGTTTATTGCTCAGGGTTCAGGGCCAAATTCCTGAGCCTGTGCCCCCCTCGCCCTCGCCCATGGAGTCCCCCTAAACCCTAGACCCTAAACCCTAAACCCTAAACCCTAAACCCTACAAACGACAGCCGGGAATGCCAGGGAGTTGCCGAGGTTTCTGCCTGAGTCTGCCCGGCTTGCGGCTTTCATCCCCGCAAACGGTAACTTCAATCAATACACCCTAAACCCTAAACCCTAAACCCTAAACCCTAAACCCCAAACCCTAAACCCTAAACCCTAAACCCTAAACCCTACTTGAAGGTTCATGAGTACACTTAAGTAGCGTGAGAAGTACCCTGAGCAAGGTTATAAACCAGTCAGAAGTATAGCTACCCTACTTTTAACTTATAACCCCGGTTGTAACTACCCATGCTCCAAGTAATCCCTAGAACCCCCTTATGTCTTGGGCCCTCAAACCCATAAAAGCCCTTCAACCCATTAAGCCCTTAACCCCCCGAAAAATCCTTAACCCTGAAACTTGAGCTTGCAATGCTGCAACTTAGACAGTCAGCGCTACAGCTCGAATTAAAGGGGTTGGCTGGCGGGACGAAGCCGGAAGCACGGCAACCCCACGTTGAAGGTTCATGGGCAGTTCGAATCAGGGTTATAACGACCTAAATAACGTGATAACCAGTTACAATTGCATTTACCCTAGAAATCGCCCCACATACAATTGTCATGCACCTCCAAGCACATCTCTCGTTGTCCCATGAACGCCTTCCTTCTGACTTTGCACATCGGCAGTTTCGAGTTTTCGTGCTTGCATTCCATTTCACGATCTCATGTGCCAGTTCCGAATTGCTTTGTCATGCTGAAACAAAGATTCCTAGTTGCTGAGCGCCCTGACCCAGAAAAGGTGAACCTTTCAACTATTGAACTATTGTATACACCAGAAGGTTAAAGGTTCCCTACTCAGCTCCGAAGCTTTCAATAATAAAACCGGAGGGCGGACGACTTGACTTTAAAGAGGACCTGGTCTGCACCCCCAAACATGCCCAACAGTCAGGGTTTAGGGTTTAGGGTTGAGGGTTTAGCCCCACGCAACTTCACTCTTCGGATGCTCCAAGACGTCCCTGCTGTGAGGCCGCGGCTATCGCCCTCCTCCTGGGTCACGGCAATGAGGTACTCCCCAACGGCCAGTGCGGTGTCTGCAGAGGGTGGTGGTGAGCTTCGGAAGAGGGTCCGAAGCTCACCAAGTTGCCCTAAATTCGCGGTTTTAAGTCTTAGTCCAAAGGGGCTTCCTTCAGCTGAGTTAGAAACGAGAAAAAGCACAAAAAGATGCAGTCATTGGATGACTTTCCAATGACTTGGCTAGCCCCAAAACCTCGGAGCCCTCGCAAGCTTGGGCCTCAGCACCCCAGCCCAAACTCCAGACCCTAAACTGCTGTTTAGGGTTTAGGGTTTAGGGTTTAGAGCAAAACACTTTGAGCCTGCCGGCACACACGCTACATGGAGTTAACCTTGCAGGCTAGACCTAAAACCCTTTACCCTAAACGCTCAACCCTTTATAGCTGTGGAGGCCCAAACCGCCAGAAATGGGGCCTGAAATGGGGGTTGACCTGGGGGGTGCTGGTTTGCTTTTTTTTTGGGGGGGAGGGGGGGGGGGGTGGGGGGTGTTTAGGGTTTAGGGTTGAGGGCTTCATGGGTGGAGTTTGTGCCTTCGAGAGTCAGGCTGCGCGGCTTCTAGGCATGATGGTTCCCGAAACTGTCAGGTTGCATGAGGCCAACACTCGCAAGTCTAACCCTGAACTCTAAACCCTAATACCTCTTCACAGCTTCGCGCTTGCGTAGGTCTTCCGTACGCTGCCAGGTCCAGGAGGAGTGGCAACCTCGTCCTAACCCCGACAAACCCTAAACCCTCTTTTCTGCCTGTCCTGTCCAATCGGTAAGGCAAAATTCTTAGCAAGACGCTCCGCCCCCCTGAAGCCATATTTTGCACGGTTTAGGGTTTGCCTTGCCACCAAGGCTTAAGGTTAGTTGGGTAGTTGTAAGTAGGGTTACAAGTGCCCAAAGTAAGGTCCTAAGTACAGAGACCCTACTTTTTAACCAGTCTTTTTAACCCTACTTATAGCTACCCATGAACCGTCAAGTAGGGTACCCTGAACCCTCCACCCTGCCCACGGGTCTCCCTGCGCGCGGGCTTGATCTGTTGGCTGTGGTGGCTGTGCGAAGGGCTTCGCCCATGACCCTGGCTTGGGGTTCTTTATAGAGCCATAACCCTATGGTCCTTTTAGAACCTTGATTTCAAAGTACTTTTAATGTTTCTTGAGTTTTATAAACAGCACAAAGTTTCTTAGCTTTCTGAATAGTCATAAACGAAAGCAATAGAGGAGTCCTGGGGAGACTATCGTTCTTGGCTGTGTCAGACCTGTGAGGTACTCAAATTCAGGAAATGTATTTATAAACACCAACTATCTTTAACGGTATCCTTTCTGGGTTTGGTTGCTTCATAAGGGCACCTAGAACCCCCAAAAGGGGCAAAAGGGTACCAGCGGGCTATAAAGTAGGAGTGCGACAGCTTACGTGTCAAGCCTCTTGATTACAATTCTCAATTGGGGACCATTCTTAAAGATCCTCTAAGGGAGAGAAACTTCAGCAAGCGAAAGTGGTGATAGCCGGAGATCCCCAGGTTTAGGGTTTTCCGTGTCGGGCTTCGGGTTTAGGGCGGCTACATGCCCTACACCCGCCACACGCATGTCGGCTGTGTTCTTCCTCGCTCGAGGGGTCTATCTACATCTTGGGATGTTCCCCCTTACACTAACGGTCCCTAACAGGGACTATAATAGGGGGTACACAAACCCCTATTAAGCACTGCTAGAAGAGGGAGAACATCCTAATCCACATCCAACACACTCGACCACAGTAACCAAGCCCCGAACTTGCTTTCTTCAACTGCCTAAAGCCTTTTGGAACCCGGCCTCCTAAACCCTAAACCCTAACCCCTAAACCCCACACCCCAAACCCTAAACCCCAAATCCTAAACCCTAAAACGTCAACCAGCTACCAACTCCCAAGCCGCCAACAGAAAAAATAATACAAGCCTGCGCTTCCCAACCGCGAAAGGTTCAGCAGATTTCCGCACTTATCATCTGACTCTACCTTGGACCCCCAAGGTTGTGCCTTTGGGTTTGGGGGCCATTTTCAAAAATCATCTAAGGGGATGTAGGGGCCATATTGGGAGTAAACCCTAAACCCTAAACCCTAAACCCTCTACCCCCTAAACCCTAAACCCTAAACCCTAAACCCTAAACCTATCTAAACTGACTGGTGGCGAAGGAATCCTCCCCCGTTTTTTGCTTAAGGTGTCCTGGGGTCTTCCCCCTAAACCCTATACCCTAACCTCTTGAACCCTAAGCCCTCAGGGAGTCCCCCCGGCAGAGATACGAATTCTGACTGAGAAGGAATCTTCACCCCTAAACCCTTGTACCCCTAAACCCTACAGAGACTTTTCCCCTGAACCGTAAACCCCCAAACCTTAAGGTCTCTCTGGGTCTATGGGCCTATCGAGCCCACCCCCCCCCCCCCCCCCCCCCGAAAGGCCTGAGGTTTGCTCCCATCCCGGAAGATGAACTCGACCTCAGGCGGACGCTGCTGAAAACAGGGTTCGGGGTTTAGGGTTTAGGGTTTTGGGGCTTAGAGTTTTCTTTAAGTTTGGCCTAACTGGATCAACAAACAGGGCATGAGAATAAATGCTCTTTGCTTGCTTAAACCCTAAACCGTAAACGCTAAACCCTGAACCCTACGGGGAAAGCTGCATGGATTCGGCGGTTCCAACAACACGCTTGAGGTGGTCGAATTAATGCGTTCCTGCCCCCTCTTGCTGAGTTAACATACTCACCCTGAGTTTAGGGTTTAGGGGGTTAGGGTTTAGGGTTTAGTTTCAGTGCATGCTCATTTAGATACCTCTCTGGCTTGCAGATTTTTGCCTCGCACTGCAGCAGTACGGAATCTAAGCGGATCTTCTCTTGCGGCAGGCGTGTTCCAACGTCGCAGCCTGGCATGCGCCTTTACAGCTAAAGCAAAGGGCATGGTGCCTGAATCCTGAACCCTAAACCCTCAACCCTAAACTTTGCCCTAAAGTGCACAAACCCTTAACCAATGTGAAAGATCGCACTGGCGGACGTCGGAGTCTTGCCACAAGAGCCTACACAACAAACAATGATCTCCTCACCGACATGTGGGGGGGGGGGGGGGGTCAATTAGGGGGTTACTGAGCTTTCACACATACACACGCAGACATTTTTACACGTGACATCAATGAATCTAAAAAATCTATCTATATATATATATATAGAAAAATAGACATACATATATAGTTTGCTTCTATATGCACACATGGCTTCAACTCGAGAAAGGGCAGCTAATTTTAACTAGTTCAAGGTGCACGAGGAATGGCAGCTCCCTTCTTATGGATCACCCAAAACCCAAAACCCAAAACCCAAAACCCAAAACCCCAAACCCTAAACCCTAAACCCTAAACCCAAAACGGGACGTCTTGAGGCAGATGCCTCGCATGCGGCGCAGAAGTCCTACACTCCTACGCTTTCAGCTGCGACAGATCCTCCGCGATCAGGGCCAGCAGCGATGACGGATCCTGAAATGATCCCTAGCTTAGAGTTTAGGGTTTAGGGTTTCGGGTTTAGGGTTGATCCCCAAAGCCTAACCCCCAAACCCTAAACGTGCAAAGGGAAGGGAAAAAACAGGTTCCGGCTTCGCGGCCCTCAGCCATTAAACCCGCTGACCAGAAACTCTAACTTGGGTTACAATGTAATCTGCTGTTTGCTTAAGAATCCCCAAAAAATTAAAGGTGAGAATCCCGATAATACCCATGTAAGAAAGAATGCTATTTTACTTGCTTTTGTTTTTGTTTTGGGGCCCGGGGGGGGGCTTCTTAAGCACATAGTAGTAATCCTTCGCCGTCCCCCTGACCAAGTCTTTTAAGACCCTGACATGACCGGAACTTAAGGCTGTAAGTCTGGGGCAACGCGGGGGCCTTAAGAATTAGAACAGGGTTTTGCGGTTTTGCGGGGTTCGTACAGAATGATTCTATAGGGACCATAAGGGAATGCCAAATCCGACCCCTGTACTTACGCGGGGAGCGGGGAGGGGGGGAGGGGTGGTTCTACAATATCTAGGTCCTCAGATTTTTAAGAACTACCTAGAAGGGAGCCTGACATGGCCTGACTGTTATACGACCCCGTGTTGGCTTTAGGCTTCCTCATTCTGTGCTCTGTGTGTCGCAGCATGTGAGTTGATCGATTTGAGCCGTGCCACACGTCACAAGCTCGTACCCCGTGCCAGGATTTAGGGCCTAGGGTTTGGGGTTCTACTATTTGCTTAAGAACCCCCCACCCCCCCCCCCCCCCCCCCCCCCGAAAAAAAAAAAACAAATACAAAACAATGATCCCTGTTTTGCTCTTATAAGGAAGAACATGTTGCGTCTTTTGGGGGTTCTTAAGCAAATGGTAGGGTCTAGGGCGGTGGGACAACCAGAAACCAAACGCCAGCCCCTGCACCCCAAACCCCAAACAAGCCTCGAAGTGCTGCTGCTTGAAAATCATATTAAGTAATATACCTTACATCAATTAAGGACCCTTAACATGATTTAAGGTATATTATATTCATTATTTCAGGGGTATTGGGTCCTTTTGGTACACCCCAAACCCCTCAAGCCTCGAAGTGCTGCTGCTTGAAGTCGCCATAGGTCGACGTCTCCTCGGCTTCCCAATGATCAAAGGACCGAAGCTAAACCCTAAACCCTAAACCCTAATCCCTAAACCCTAAACCCTAAACCCTAAACCCTAAGGGACTCCCTGAAAGAGTGCCGCAGCGTTTGCTTGGTTCGTCCGAGGAAGGGGTTGAGGCCTCTGGGGTTTATGGGAGCTCTCTTTAGGGTTTAGGGTTTAGGGGACCTCTCCCTTCAAACTCGAAGGGTTTTCGAAATTGAGGGTGCCTTCTTGGGGGTCCTTATTAAAAGGGAATCCCACTTTTTTTGGGGCTATCATAGGGGCCCAAAAAATCAAGAATAATCCCCATATTGCCTTTACAAGGAAGAGTGTTTGCGTTTTTGGGTGGTTCTTAAGCAAATCGTAGAAGCCTAAGCTCTAGGAGCGTATTTTCCGAAGAAGCTGACTTTAGGTCCAAACTGCCTTGAAACCCGAAACGGCTCAACGGGGTTGGGTCGGCTGGGCTGCTCAACTCGAACCTAAAATGCTACAGACTCTCGACCCTGAGCCCTCAAACACACACCCTGCACTTTAAACCCTGACCCTAAACCCTAAACCCTAAACCCCAAACCCTAAACCCCAAACCCTAAACCCTGCAAAACACGAAGTGCGCCAGGGTGCCAGGCGCCACGGCGGCCCAGCCACCGACTGTGGGCAGGTCAAGTAACCTTGTACGCGGTTTAGGGTTTAGGGTTTAGGGTTTAGGGTTTAGGGTTTAGGGTTTAGGGTTTAGGGTTTAGGGTTTAGGGTTTAGGTTTTGTGGTTGATTCGGGTCTTTGGGTACAGGCGGTTTAGGAATTGGGGCTTGGGTTTGTGCGTTTTTGGGGTTCAGGGTTCTAGCACGCCTTGGTACGCTTCTTTTTGTACCCGTGTAGCAGTCTTAGCCGTCAGTTTCGGGCTGAAGGATGTTTTAGGTTAACCAGTGGATGACAGTGCAGTGGGACCCTAAACCCAAAACCCGAAACCCCCCATGTGACGCACAACATTCAATTCAAGCCCCGGCTGGCGGGTCTAGCGGTTTAATTCAGGGGTTTACGGTTTACAGGGGTTTGTGTGTATCAACGAAAGCGGAACATGATGCTTAAGGAGGCTAGAGATGAAGCCCTTGCCCCCAGAATGGCCAAGCAGCGGATTGCGGTCGTCACCAAGGCGCCTGACACAAAGGGTGGTTGTCAAAAAACAATATGATCCCCTTTTGGGGCACCCTCTATATTTTAGGTGCCGTATTATAATAGGGATCCAAAAAGGGACCATAAATTTTGACAGCCACGCTGACATATCTCAGCAGCTGCGGGTTGAGGGTGTTGGCCATCTGCCCAGCAGCGTTTTTAGGGTTTGTGGGCTTTATGGCTCGCCATCTGGGTCTGCCCTGTCTACATCTGAGGTGTTTAGGGTTTAGGGTGTTTGGGCTTGGGCAATGTGAGGTTTGCAGGGTTTGGGTTTAGGGGCTCATAAGCTGCATGACGCGCTGACCAACAACTTAAAGGGTCACCCTCAAATGATATCCTTCCAACAAAACCCTAAACTTGCGCCGCCTGCTGGCGGCGCGCCCTCAGCTGGCCATACAGTAGGAGGGCACACCTCGGGCATTCTCCGGCAGCATAGCTTGGGCTGGGGAAGGCTCCCACATGCACCACCCCAAACCCTGCCCTGTCTTCTGCGAGTTCTAGACCCAGAATCCTGGGAGGATCCAGAAAGCAGAACCCCAAATAAACCCGATACTACTACAAGGGCATTCTTAGGAACCCTCCCAAGAGTGTCTGAGGAAGGGGGTCAGGATTACGATTCCGAACTGCTTTCCGAGCGAACTTCCCAGATCGGCCCTAAAACCCTACCTGGAGGTTCACGGGTAGTTATAGGGTTTAGGTTTTAGGGTTTATAAGTAGGGCCCTTTTGTACCCTAGGTAAGGTTTATAAGTATAGTTAATCTTCGTTACCTCACTGTACCCCCACTTCTAACTGCCTCGGGCCCGAAAACCTTCCAGATTTCAGGGTGTTTTGTGACTGAAGCATCCAAGCGGCTGTGTAAAGGCGTGCCTGAGGCAAACATCAACTGCCGGGGCTGCTTGGTAAGAGCGGCTTTCGGGTTTTCCTTTGGGTCTCAGGGGCCCTAAACCTCTATGCCTGGTCGAAATCGAGAGGAGTGCGGTTGAACAAAAGATGCCGCCTCGGAGAAGGGATTGCCAAAAAAGATGGGGGATGGAGGGTTTCAAAGGACTCGTGACTCGTGCGCTGGATGAGGAGCTGGACAGGGGGCTGGCTAACATGGAGAGTGGGGGCTTGCAATGGAGAGGGCCTCCCGAAACGAGAGATGGGGGGAGGGGGTGTGAAAAGCAAACCCTGGGGGGTCAACAAGAAAACATGGGGGGGCGGGGGGGGGGAGAGATGGGCCCCTGTAGGGTTTAGGGTTTAGGGTTTCTGTAGTTGAGGTGCTGAGGGCGTAGCTTCGCAGATGGACGCCTCCCACCCCCCAAAATCCCAAGTCGAACCCTCGCAGCGCCCTCGGAAGATGGATCCGAAGCCCCTCCACCCGACTTTGAGCCCCACGTGTAGGTTTTAGGGGTTTAGGGGTTTAGGGGTTTAGGGGTTTAGGGTTTAGGGTTAGGGGCTCCACGTTTAGAGGGGTTGGGGTTTAGGGCTTGGAGTTTGGGGTGTTGGGGTTGGGATTTTCCGCCTTATACTAACAGCCCTTAACAGGGATTATAATACCCCCCCCCCCCCCAATTAGAATCCCTATGAGGGACTGTTAGAAAAAACGGGGAACATCCCGAGGTTCAGGGGCTTAGGAGCAAGTGGGTAGCCCTAAACCCTTAACCCTTAACCCTTAACCCTAAACCCTAAACCCTAAACCCTAAACCCTAAACCCTAAACCCTAAACCCTAAACCCTAACCCTAAACCCTAAACCCTAAACCCTAAACCCCCTTGGCTTAAGGTGCCGGGATCATCCCACGCTTCTCGATGAGCGCATAGGCCAGTGCGAAGGCCAGGTGTGCACCGGTTCCTGTGAACTACTTGGCGGCTCATGGGGGGGGGGGGAAGGGTTTAGGGTTTTAGGGTTTTAGGGTTATAGGGTTATAGGGTTATAGGGTTATAGGGTTATAGGGTTTTAGGGTTTTAGGGTTTTAGGGTTTAGGGTTTAGGGTTTAGGGTTTAGGGTTTAGGGTTTAGGGTTTAGGGTTTAGGGTTTAGGGTTTAGGGTTTCTTTCTGCCACCCGACTAGCCACAGCACTGCGGGGTCTACTGTACGACATTCTCGGAGAAAGCCTGTCCCAGCTTTAGGTTTTAGATTTTCAGGTTGAGTTTAGGGTACTTAATTCTCACCCACTAAGGCTCACCCACTAAGGTTTAGGGCTTAGGGCTACTGGGCAGTTACATGTGGGGTTATAAATTGTTTTTTGAGCACTGATAACCCTGTCATAACTGCCCATGAACCTCCCAGCAGGGTTCTTACCACCCGCCCGCGCAAAGCCCAGTGCGCCTGGTTTAAGTACAGAATGTACCTCTTAAAGTATGTCCAGTCCTGTATTATGAGCTAAGCTATAGCCCTTCATCAAGTGGATTATTCCGCTCTCTGGGCACGACGAGGAGTTATAAGGCAGAACAACAGGTCGGGATAGGTCTGGCAAATCCTGGCGCTTTAGGGTTTAGGGCTTTCCCCTAGGTGTAGAAATCATGCAGAAGAGAAGAGGCTATCGATTAATCAGACCACGCCGAGCAAAAAATCAAGGGATTCCATGTCTCAGTCCCATGAATGGTCATCACTTTGTCAAGGGTTGGCTAAACCCTGAACCCTGAACCCTGAACCGTGAACCGTGAACCCTGAACCCTAAACCCTTAACCCTAAGCCCTAAACCCTAAACCCGAAGTTGGATGGCCCTGAAAACAGAGGGCGGTCACGCCTAGGCCGACAAAGGCCACGTTGTCCCCCGGCAGAATCGAGAAGGACTCCTCTCGGAGGACGCGGTTCAGGGTTTAGGGCTTTAGGGTTTGGGGGTTTAGGGTTTAGGTGCTGTTTTAAGGAGGACAGGGAAGGCATGGGCGCAGAGGAGGAATACTATAGGGGTCGGAACAATTACTAATGATATTCCTTTTTGGTCCCTATGTAATTCTACTCTGATATCCCCCGCCACCCCCCCCCCCCCCCCCCCCCCCCCCCCCCCCCCCCAAAAAAAAAAAAAAAAAAAAAACAAAAAAACATTCTAACCCAATTCTAATTACTAATGATGTTCCCTTATGGTCCCTGTATAATGCTACTGTACAACCCCCCTCCCCCCACCCCCCCCCAACCCCCCCCCCCCCCCCCCCCCCCCCCCCACAAAAAAAAAAATTGTTCTAATTAGCCAGGCCCCACTAGTTACCCAAAACCTAAACCCTGAACCCTAATGTGAATGTAATTATCCTATAATCCCCCCCCCCCCCGCCCGAAAGCCCTTATTCTAAATATGCAAGGCCCTCCTATATGACACCTCTGTCCTGAAGCTGCTCTGCCAGAGGCATAAGCTCAGACCACGGCATGGCAATCTCGTCCTGCACTTTTAGGTAGTGGGGGTTTGTTTAGGGTTTAGGGTTTAGGGTTTAGGGTTTAGGGTTTAGGGTTTAGGGTTTAGGGTTTAGGGTGTAGGGTGTAGGGTGTAGGGTTTAGGGCTTAGGGTTTAGGGCTTAGGGTTTAGGTTTGGGGTTTGGGGTTTGGGGTTTGGGGTTTGGGGTTTGGGGTTTGGGGTTTGGGGTTTGGGGTTTAGGGGGTTTCCGAAACTAGCGGGTACCTTCTTGGGGTCCGTCTGTTTAGGGAGTCCTACTATTTGGGGGTCCCTATTTTCATAAACCCCCGTGTCAGCACAAGAAGATCCAATTCTTGAATGCTGCAACGGTAATCTTCCACGCCCCCACAAAAAGACGCCTCCTTCAGACAAAGCCTTCCCACAAGGACTCATGTGGGTGGTTGTCAAAATCATAATCCCTTTTGGGGTACCGTAAATATTAGGTGCCGTATTATAATAGGGTGCCAAAAAGGGACCATAATTTTGATAACCACCCATGTGTAAAGTCCTACACTGAAGCCAAGTGCCCAGAAGCCGAGACAAGTTTCCCAGACCCCGAACCCTGAACCTCAGAGCGGCTGAGGTTTGGACGGTTTGGGGTATGTTCTTGCCCTATAAACCCTATAAACCCTATAAACCCTGTAAACCCTATAAAACCTTTAAATCCTATATACCCTATAAACCCTATAAAACCCTATAAACCCTATAAAACCCTATAAACCCTACAAACCCCATAAAGCCTCTAAACCCTATAAAAACCGTATAAACCCACAACCCCCCAAACTTAAAATCCTGAAGGCCTGCGTTCTCCCAAGCTCTGCCGGCCTCTGCCTGCAGCCACCGGCTGCGACCCGCACCGACCTCTTTCGGGGCATGCTCTCGAGACATTGTCGAACGGTCTCTACTTGGAGGTTCATGGGTAAATTGGGTAATCATAAGTAAATTGGGGTAAATAGGGTAATTTTAAGTAAGCTTATAAGTACCCTAGGTAAGGTGATAAGTTATAGTTTCCCGAATTATAACCCGACTTGTAACTATGCCATGGACCGCCAAGTAGGGTTAAGGAGGAGCTGGGTGCCGACATTCTCTGTCCAAACCTCCGCTTGCTAAGGCCCTTCGAAACCTATACACAACTCCGGCCACTGAACCCTAAGCCCCCTAAATCCTATTCAGCCCCTAAACCCAAAGCCTCTACACCCAAAAACCCCTAAGCCTGGACCCCCTAAACACCCTAAGCGGCTACGCCCGGAACACCTAAACCCAAATCTCTCAACCCTAAACCCCTAACCCCTAACCCCTAAGCCCTAAGCCCTAAACCCTAAACCCTAAACCCCCAAAAGGCGTCACCCGACACCCAGCAGCCAGGCTGCTGCATAAGCGACGGAGGCATCCCGGGCGGTCACCGTGGGATGCCAAGCCTGGGACTCTTGATGTTTAGGGTTTAGGGTTTAGGGTTTAGGGTTTAGGGTTTAGGGTTTAGGGTTTATAAGCTAGTAATTGCTTAAGAACCCACCAAAAAATAGCCAAAAGATCTTCCTTACAAGGGTAATATAGGGATGATTACTTTGTCTTTTGGGTTTCTTAAACAAATAGAGGTAAATGGGGAAGGAATTCTGATATTCGCCCGGCCCGGGGATCCCGGTCCAAGACTACTTTGGATTAGGAGAAGGTTTCGGGCTCCTTTGTCTAAACAGCGCTATATAAGAGGGTCCGGTGGAATTGACAACTACAAAAAATTGGCTGGCCAGGAATCCAAATTCTACTGCAGATTGCTTAAGAATGAAATTGCGGAGAAGCTGCTTCCTCAGACCCACAGACCCCCAGAACCACTTAATTGCCACCCCCTCTTTTTTTACCTCAAAACCCCGAAATTCAAAACACAACTGGGGGGGTTATCAATGTGACCCTAACATTAAACCCTAAACTCTAGACCCTCAACCCTAAACCCTATGCATACACGCACACACAGACACACGGAGACAAACTTTATGTTCTCAGGGCTTAAAGGCGTACGTGATTTACGGGGCCTAGGGCTCATAGAGCGTGGGGTTCGATGTAGGAGGACTTATAAAGAACATGGGGTATAAGGAAGGCCATAACCCTATGCCAGGTGGGGTTGTCTCTAAACCCTAAACCCTAAACCCTAAACCCTAAACCCTAAACCCTAAACCCTAAACCCTAAACCCTAAACCCAACCGCGCCCAGAAGCAAGGCGTTTCAGCTCCGGGGTGCCTGCCACCTCAGCAGCTGGGAGCCCCAAATCAATGAAGCCCTGGAGGGTCTAGGGTTTAGGGTTTAGGGTTCAGGGTTCAGGGTTTAGATTGAAGGGGTATAAGGAGGGGCCTCTAGACCCTTAATCTTCTTCCCCTGCAGTATAGAACCCCTCTATGTCGCCCCTCTATACCTAAGTAGCCCCTTAAATTACCCCTAAGATCCCTTGTAAGGGTCCCTCTTTTAGTCCCTTGATAAATTCAACATCTCCAACTAAACTCTACACGCGTACATAAAAGAAATGTATACGTATTGATTGATTATCCATCAACGATGTTTGTCTTACTATGTACACAAGATTTTGTGTGTCTATATAGTGTGTGAAAAAACAAATGTATATATATATATATATACACATACACATTTGGATGTTCCTCCTCTTACTAACAGTCCTGAATAGGGATTAGCATAGGGGGGGTACTAGAAACCACCCTGGAGCCCGAAGGGCCCGAAGGGCCTAAAGCCATACCCTAAACCCTAAACCCTAAACCCTAAACCCTAAACCCTAACCCTAAACCCTAAACCCTAAACCCTAACCCTAAACCCTAAACGCCAAGGTGCTGGGGTGACCTCACCTGGAAGCACCGAGGCAAAGTCGCTGGCTGTAAGGGCCGTGACTTTCCTGGACTTTGGGTTGCTTTGGAGGGTTTAGGGTTTAGGGTTTAGGCTTTAGGCTTTAGGGGGTTTAGGGTTTAAAAGGGTTTCGAGAGGGGGTTGGGGGTGTTGGATTTAGGGTTTACCTGTCTGTCTAGTTGAGCTGAGCTGAGAGTTTCGTTTAACGGCTTTGAGAGCTTGACTTTCTTCTTCGGTCGGTCAAGCTTTGAACTTTGGGTGCCTCAGGACTTTCTGGTTTACATTTTGGTCTTAAGGAGTGAACCTTGAGGGTTGTGGGGATTGTGAGGGGTTTTGTAGGGCTTGGCTGTAGGTCTTCGCTAGGCTTGGGGGAATTAGGGCATGACATGCTAAGGTTCCATGAACTGACGACCCAGGGTTCATGGGTTTAGGGTTTAGAGGTTTAGGGGTTGATGCAGGTTTAGGGTTTGGGTGTTTGGGGGGTTTAGGGGTCACCGTTTAAATGTTTAGAGGTTTGGGAGTTTAGGAGTTCAGGGATTTAGGGTTGAGGGGTTGAGGGTTTAAGGTGTTAAAGATTTAGGGTTCACCAGGAGGACCCCCCCTCCGCCGCCTCCCTGGTAAGAACTAGATTGAAGGGCCCGAGGTTTGTAAATGCTCCAGCTTAGGTTGCAAGGACCCTGCCAAGTGAACCTCAAATCCGAAATGCCTCAACTAAACGGGTTTCGGAGATGGTGCCGATGTGCCCAACCCCCAGAGTGTCCCTGCAACCCCAGAGTATCCCTACCCAGAGTGTGGGTTTAGGGTTTAGGGTTTAGGGTTTAGCGTTTAGGGTTTAGGGCTTGTTGACATTCTTATTCTTGTTATTGTTGTATCTCTTGCTTGTTTTTTCGGAGGGGGGGGGGTCAGGGTTCAGGCTTCAGGGTTGCCCAGAAAACCCTAAGCCCTATAAACACTAGCACCTAAAATCGTTTACGCACATCACATTTTGCGTTGGCATCTGTTTTGAGGGGGGCCAGAGAAACATTCTTTGACAGAAACGTCAGGATGAACAATGAGAACCCTAAATACGAAAGCCTAACAAACAATCGCCATAAACGCCATAAACACTAAATCCCATACTTGAAGGTTCGTGGGTAGACAAAAGTAGGGATCAGAAGTACCCAAAAACAGGCTTACAAGCTGTAATCAGTTCCCAAATTTCTCACCCCAAATTGTACCGTCCAAAGTAGGGTTTAACCCTTCGGGCCTGAAAACGTCCAAGCGCTTCTCGCACACCTCGGGGCTGGTCCGGGGGCTTGTTTGGGGGCATTGTGTAGGGCTGCGTCGGCTTGAAAAGGTAGTCTGATTCTTGGGTACTTGTAGGTTCATGGTACTTATTAACCAATTATAGCTGTACTTATGACTGTACTTATCACTCGTTGGTGAAGGTCTGGCCCGGCAGCCTAAGTAAGCTTCCCCCAGGGTGGGTTTTCGGGTTTCGGGTTATCTAAGGTTTAGGGCCATTCTTAGGGTCGTGGGGTTTCGGGTTTCGGGTGTGGGGTTTGGGGCCATGATTCTGCCGAAGCCATCTGAAAAGCCCACATTCGTCAGCCCTACTTGGAGGTTCAGCAACAAAGTGGGGAACACAGTAGGGCAGCGAACAAAAATGACTGGTTATACCCTTGTCTAGGGTACTTATAGCCCTACCTATAACTACCCATGAACCACTCTTTAATCCGCAACCCTGAGCCCTAAACCCTAAACCCTTAACCCTGTCCTAAGCCCGAGAAGCACCTGGCCTCAACCAGCTCCTGGGCCGGAAAGCGCGCCCTCTCCGCCTTCTCAAGGGCTTGTTGAAGGCTTAGGAACCCTAAACCCTAAACCCTAAACCCTAAACCCTAAACCCTAAACCCTGAACCCTGAACCCTGAACCCTGAACCCTGAACCCTGAACCCTGAACCCTGAACCGGCTTAGGAACCCTAAACCCTCCACCCTGAACCCTAAGTCCGGTTCAGGTCGGGGGGTTTCAAGATTGTGGGGCTCAGGGTAGCATGGTTTGGGGAGTCAGGGTTGTGGGGGGCGTTTAGGGTTTAGGGTTTGGGGGTTGAGGTTTTTCACTTTTTGGGGGCTATTTGGGGGGGGGGGGGGGTCAGAAGGATTAAGATGGGGTTTAGGAAGCTTAGGGTTTAAGGGGTCCATAAAGGATGTTATAGGGGAGGGTTTGTAGGGTCTAGAGTGCGAAGGGCACCCTTGGCTTCAGAGTGTTTAAAGGGCTTAGGATTTTAAATAGGTTCTAGGAGTTAGAGGGTCTAGCCCCTAAACCCTAAACCCTAAACCCTAAACCCTAAACCCTAACCCTAAACCCTAAAAACCTAGGGTTCATAGGTCTTTTTTGCGGTTTAGAAAAGAGGTCCGCAGCGGCGGCGCTGGCATGCCCTAGGATTCTGGTGGGGAGGAGAAGGCACGCAGTTCAAAACCCCTTAGGGTTTAGGTTTAGGTTTAGGGTTTAGGGTTAGGGTTTAGGGTTTAGGGTTTAGGGTTTAGGGTTTAGGGTTTAGGGTTTAGGGTTTAGTGGGAGCTGTTCTCAATTCTAGGGTCTCTTGATAGGGTTTGGGCCTTGGGGTTTAGGATTTAGGGTTTAGGTTGGTATACTTTATACTCGGAATCTGCGCGAAAGTTCCCTGGCAAGTGGCCCTGATGTGGAACAAACAACAACCACCCCCCCCCCCCCCCCCATTCTCCTCCGAAAGCCCCTGGCACCTTCACCTCCTCTGGACGGGGTCCATGCTCACCAAGCGGGTCTTCCACCACCTTTCGGTGAGGCTAACGCCGCCAAGTTTAGACGCATCAAGCTGGAATTGCTTCTGAGAAGTCGTTTTAGCTCGTGTCACCTGGTAGAGATACACATCCGGGAGCGTCCGCATTCACGGTCATTGCTGTGCAAGAAGTGCCTAAAAACATCAGTTCGCTAAGAAATGGTCCCGAGTTTGGTGACCGCAGGCACTGAGAACTGTTCACAATGCGGTTTAGCATGCTTTGGTGTGTATTCTAGCCGCTAATGTGTCATTCTCTCCAGAGGGCATTCGCACTGGAGTGGCGCTTCTTCTAGCAGCTAGCGTGAGTCAGAGAATCGGTCCCCGTAGTAAAACCCCTGACTGCCGGAATAGTCGCCGGATGTGGGAACACAATCCCCCAGTAACTTGTTGGGATTATGGCTGGGAGCCTCACGAATGAAAGGCCACACATCTGCACACTCATGCGGGCATGGCCTCCAGTTGAACCACGCACCAGCGTAGAATGACCTATCACCTGCTTATGCTGCACCTTGTGCCTACATGCTGCCTAAAACACTTTTTCCATCTGGGCTTGTGGAATCGCCAGAGTGCACTCTGCCTAAAACCCTAAACTTTGGGGCCCCTAAACCCTAAACCCTAAACCCATGTTTTCAGCCTGGCTGCAATGACCTTGATGGGCCCCTCAAGGGCGGGCGCCAGTGGCTCGCGTGGGAGAGGTAGCCAAAAGTCCTGCAACATGCGGATGCATCGAGCTGCCAGTTTTATGATGTACTGCGACATACTGAACTATAATTATGTGGGCCATAGAATCTTGAAAATTCATTCCAAGCCATATGCTCTAGTACTATGGGACTTACTAGGAATCATGACTCATTGCTGCCCTTGATATGCAATCCCTGCGCCATGCATGTACCAAGACCGACTGCCCTGCTCCTGATATGTCTTCGCCGCGTCTGACACCTCGATCTTCTGTCCAGAGATGGTGTCCTTGACCAGCCACTGAAAAAGTCCGAGTCGGCACTTTCGTTCGCATCCAGAAGGTCATGGAGAATTCAGATGGGTATTTCTCGATGTCTAGAGCTACCCCTGAGTACCCCCCCCCCCCCCCAAAAAAAAAAAAAAAAAAAAAAACATAATAATAAATGCAATCTCTACTATCGAATTCCCCCAAAAAGGCTACCCCCTCTGCTGGGATAGCCCCACAATATTCAAGGTCTGCCCTCGGGCTCAAACCTTCCCTGAGCCTAAGGCCCTGAAACGCATGAAATTTGCCGCTGCAGCATTTTGAAGACCTGAAGCCTGCCTCCTGTAGCAAAATGCAAACGTGTAGGTTTTAGGGTTTAGGGTTTAGGGTTTTGTGTTTAGGGTTTAGGTTTATTGAAGCCTGGGCCCCGTGTTCCCCTTCGGAGCAGGCCAGCCATTCTGTGCATGGCTAGCCGGGGCCCTTGTTTCGACAAAGCAAACTTGAAGGTTCATGGGTAACCATGGGTTGTAAGCAAGGTCCTCTCTAGGTTATGGGGTTTTCGCCACCCGCACTGCACGCACATCCAGGTTATGGGGTTTAGTGTTTTAGGGTTTAGGGTGCCCATGAACCTTCAAGAATGTGCACTTCAGGCCAGTCTTGGCCTTGCCAAAGATTTCATGCAGTCCCCCACATTCTCCCTGCTTCTACAAGGAGCGGCCCTAGAGTTCAGGGACCTAATAGCCCAGGTTCTGCTACTTAGGGTTTAGGGTTTCGGGTAGCTCAATTTAAATCCGGGGGCCGCTTCTTGTACACAGTGCGACAAAAGGGTAGCTGCCTGGCAAAACTCGAATTAGAGGCTGCACTTTGCCGTCCGTGCGGCCGAGGCTTCGGACGGCGGCTGCTCCCAATCTTTCGTCCTCTCGGGATCTTCGACGGAGGTATCTGAAGGCTGCCCAGAGCCTTAGCTGCTGAGTTCACAAGCCCCCCAAAAAAGTGTACACTTTCAGTTCTATAGGGGATTATGGTATCCCAAAAAATGCAAAGTGTGTTCATTCGGCTGCTAAGGAGCTGGCCTTTTTCCTAAAGCAAACGAAGCAAAATACCGGGGCGGCCAAGAGCACGATGCACCCTGCAGTGAAGAAGGCATTGTCCTGGGATGGCCCATAACAAAGCTCTGAAAACATATTCCGGATCCTCTTAAACCCAATAAGGGAAAAGTGTCCAAAGAGCCCACCGAAACCCAGGTTTAGAGGGTTTAGGGTTTACTAAGGGTTTAGGGATACTTCTAGGACAGATACAAAGTCATCCCAAGACCCCACCTCTAAACTGAACTTGGAACCCTGGCAAAAACTGTAATGTTTGCGGTTTCTTACAAACCATATATAGTGCCCAAACATGAAAATCACTACCACCTAAATCCTAAAACCCTTAACCCCCCTAAGACCTAGTGTCGTAGCTGCCGGTCAGGTCGTAGACCGTGCCGACGAAGGTGGGTCCAAGAGCAGTGCCAACTGCCATCCTCGGAGTTTTCAGCCGATCATGCGTTGGAATTTCCTAGGGTTTAGGGTTTAGGGTTTAGGGTTTAGGCTTTAGGGATGTTCCCCCTTATACTAACAGTCCTTTACAGGGATTGTATTACCCCCTATGATAATCCCTACAAAGGACTGTGAGTATAAGGGGGAACATCCCAAGTTTAGGGTTTAGGGCTTTGGTTTCAGGATCGTCTCTTTCCACATCGCAAGAACCCTACTGCTACAACTCCTGTTGCCCACCAAGGTGGGGGAAAAGAAAACGACCCAACCACAATTACAGGGGCCTTAAGAATTAGAAAAGGGTATTTGGGGGGTACGATGCTGTAGTCACATATAGGGACGATCAGGAAATACTACGAGTAACTTTCTAAATCCTAAAGCCCTGAAGGCTAAACTTTAAGCCCCTAAACCGACCTTAACACTCTAAACCCTAAACCCTAAACCCTAAGCCATAAACCCTAAACCCTAAACCCTACACCCTACACCCTACACCCTAAACCCTAAACCCTAAACCCTGTGCTAGACAGCCGGGGAGTCGGAACCCCAAGGAGGCCGTAGAGATGCGCCACCTTCTCGGGGTCGAAGAGCTCCTTAGCTGTCCAGTAGCCTAGGGAAGGGTTTAGGGTTTAGGGTTTAGGGTTTAGGGTTTAGGGTTTAATTAGGGTTTAGGGTTTAGGGTTTAGGGTTTAGGGTGTAGGGTTTGGGGTTTGGGGTTTGGGGTTTAGGGTTTAGGGCTTAGGGCTTGGGGCTTAGGGCTTAGGGCTTGATCTACTGTACTACCAAGGCTCATTCAACGTGAGGCTCAGCAGGACAACGCGCCCCCCCGAGGAGAAGCCATAGATGGCCTAGCATGGCCCTTCAAGCCCTCTGAAGAATAGGCTTAGGGTTTAGGGTTTAGGGTTTAGGGTTTAGGGTTTAGGGTTTAGGGTTTAGGGTTTAGGGTTTAGGGTTTAGGGTTTAGGGTTCCTGAATAGGATCCTCTTAAAACCCCAATTCTGGGAAGACGCAAAATAGATGCCAAGGGCCTACCTAGGGGCCGAGAAGAGCTTGAGCTCCGCGGCATTCGTGCAGAAGGGAAGCCAGATCAGAGATGCCCCCTGCACCAGCAACATCAACAGAAAGAGCCTGGATGGGGCTAAACCCTAAGCCCTAAACCCTAAACCCTAAGCCCTAAACCCTAAACCCTAAACCCTGAGCCTGGAGGGGCGTACGAAAGAGGAGCAAAGGCCGAAGAAAAGTCGGGCCGCCGTCCCAGCCGCGCCCAGCAGTGAAGTTAGCTCTCCAGCGATCTCCAGGCCCTTCTCCACCTCGGCGAAGTACACGAGATGCGTGTAGGGCACCATGAAGCCGATAAAGTAGAAGAGCAAGGCGATGTTGAACAGGATGAACCGCAGGTCGCGGTAAGGCTGGAAGAAGTCTCGGACAGGGTTGCTCTTGAGCTCCTGGTAGTCGGCAGCTGAATCCCCAGCATCGCATGGCTGTTGACGAAGACCCCACCACAGGGCCAGCACGGCGCCAAACCTATACTCCCCTTAGAACCTGAATAAGAAAAGTTGTTTCAATATCCTCTTGGGTTAAAAAAACAAAAGTAAGAAATGATTCCCAAGGGGGATATAGAAACAACAACGGGCAGAAGGCCCCGCAGCAGATCCGGAGGGCATCTCTCCAGCTGAACGTGTCGAGCAACATGTCAAGCCCGAGGTTGACGAGAATGGTGCCAAGCCCTGCGCCCGAGGAAGCTAGCCCCACGGCCACAGGCAAAAAGCCTTGACCTACACTGAATCGGGAATCCTAGCAAAAAACTATGAATTTAGCTGTTTCTTCGGAAATTATAGTGCCCAAAATTAAAAAATCATTCCCAAGAATTCCTAACTGGCTGGTATGGCCATAAAGGACCGTTGCACCTGGTGTGAAGATCATGGCCATGGACATACCGCCGACTAAGCTGGTTGACAAGAAGAGTAGGGCGCTGGAAGGGGCGTAGCTGTCTAGAAGCATCCCAAGCAGCAGCATTGCAGCTCCGATCGCAGGCATCCGCACAAAGCCCACACGACGAACCAGGAATCCGGCGGGCGCTGTGCTCAAGCCAAAGACGAAGTCCCGGATTGAACCCACAAGTGCCAGGGTACTCGCTGCATCACCCGTGTCTGCCTTTAGAGCTGCAAAGAGCGTGCCGTAGGAGTAAAACAGGCCCAAGACCACGACCTGCATGATGAAGGAGGCCAGGATCAAGCAGCCTTGTTGCAGCCTGGAAACCACGGAGTCGTCACTCCGTTGCATCCCCGGCATGCTTCGCAGGTGCACTGGCCCTGTATCCTCCTTTCCCACGCAGCTAACCCTGGTTTTCAAGCTTGAGCCGACAGCCCACGAATGAGATTTTTGGGGTTTAGGGTTTAGGGTTTCGGGTTGGCCGGCCCAAAACTCGAGATGACCGACATCGGAAGGCTCCTCGCTACTGAGTGTGGGATGGGTGGGTCTACGGATTTCGAGTCGGAATGAACGAGAAACCCTTGTTACTTGCAGTGAAGAGCAAGAAAAAGGGTGCCCTTATTCTTAGGGACTTACTAGGGAGCCTAGACAAATCATCGAACATGTTGGTGTGTATACATGTACATGTATGTATGTACGTACGCATGTACGTATGTATCATTATTTGCTGAAGTACTGTTTGTTTCTTTTGGTATGTTCATATACGCACATGTATGTAAACAGAGAAATATGTACAGACATATATATATATATATATCGTCATGTTCATATATTGAGAGAGATACGCGCACATGCCTTATAGGGTTCCTAGCTTGTGCATCTGTCTTTTTCTTGGGACCGAGCCATGACGAAATGTATACATGCCTATATTGTCAAGTTATGCGTGCGTAGACACCGGGACCAGCATAGGTATACAAGGGCCCACAACTAAACTTGGTAGCCCAGTAACCATATTATAATAAGGGCACCCTTTTTTGAGCTGGCTATTTTTCAAGGGAAACCATAACCGACAAAAATGGTAAAGGGTACCACAAGAGGGTTTAGAGGGTTTAACAGGGTTTAAGAGGGTTTAGCGGGGTTTAATTGGGTTTAACATGGCTTAATAGGGTTTAATAAAAAAAGGCCCACATGAGAAGAGCCCAATCTCCCATAGGGTGAGCCAAAGTTCGGCTTGCACCTTCTCGATAAACTCGTCCAGAATCTGGCATTCCTGGCTTAGGGTTTAGGGTTTAGTGTTTAGGGTTTAGGGCTTGAGGGCATGGGCCTTTCTTTTGGCAGGGGCTGCGGGGTTGAGGGCACAAGCCTCTTACACGACACGTCTACGGTTTTGGGTTTTTGCCGTGTGCAGTTGTCCTGTGGCCCTCGTTCTGTTGAAGCCCGAGGCTTTTGGCACAGAAACTTGTCTTGTAGTTCCAGCAAGACCCAGGAAAGACTGATGAGAGAAAGAACGGTCACAACGCGTGAGAGCAAGAGAGACATGCAGAAGAACAGCACACATAACATGCGAATTGTAGCTGGCCAAAACACCACAAGTGCAGTACAGAGGGCAAAACATCGCAATAACCACCAACACAAAGGTGCTGTGGATACTTGCAAGGCACAGGCAGAATTCGGAGGGTTTCACAGACTTCAGCGCCGCTATGCTTAGGGGCCTCAAGCGTCAAAAGCTCCCCAACCCACCCGCAGTCCCAACCCAAGTTAGGGTTTAGGGTTGAAATTGGGTGCTTAGAATCTCAAGCTTGCCTCACGCCCTCCCCCCCCCCCCCCCCCCCCCCCCCCCTTTCTGTGGCTTAGCCTTGGAGTTCTTCTGCATATTGGGCGGTCGATGCCCTTGCTCGTGAACACCTTTGGCTTCTACGTGGTTTCGGGTTTAGGGTGCAGCCAGCAACCCGTCTGACTCATCTGTATTATGCCCTAGGTACTTGCAAGGGTACCCTACTCGCCAAGGCGCTGTAACTCTTACTTTGGGTGGGAGGAAATGCTCCATATCCTAAGACATAGGGGAATGGCATCTCAGTGGATGTAGTCTAATTGGCATTGCATTATATACATATACATATATACATATATATTTTTTTATTTATCTAGGACTGAAGGAAGCTCATATTACACCACTATACAGTATCTTCCGGAAGGGTTGTATAACGACGAGGGCCACGACAACGGCATGCGCTCCAAGCAGCAAACTTGCCGGTAGTTGGGATGGATGTACAGAGCCTGGGCTGGGGCGGCTCAAGGCAAGGAACTCTAGGGTTTAGGGTTTAGGGTTTAGGGTTTAGGGTTTAAGGTTTAGGGTTTAGGGTTTAGGGTTTAGGGTGTAGGGTGTAGGGTTTAGGGTTTAGGGTTTAGGGTTTAGGGTTTAGGGTTTAGGGTTTAGGGTTTAGGGTTTAGGGTTTAGGGTTTAGGGTTTAGGGTTTAGGGTTTAGGGTTCACCACCAAGGCTCATGGGTAGTTATGTTGTCTAAGTAGGGTATAAGTAGCCTGAATAGGTTTGTAATCAGAACTACGCCACGTGGTACTGGGGGCAGGTTTGGGGGCCCTATAAAAATTCAGTCTTTATAGCTTTAGAAAGGGGATTAAGGTAACAGAGTTATGTTCAAACCTACCCATGCTAACCCTACTCATAGCTACCCATGAACCTTCAAGCACGTACAGTGCGAATCAGCACAGGGTTGGGATGTTGTAGGTTTTGTGAGCTGAATCTCCATTTGCCTACCAGGGTGGGGGCGGGGTGAAAGGGGGTCAGGGGGGGAGGGAGAGGGGGGAGGGGGGGACTCGCCAATGACATCGCTCTCGGATCATAGGAGCGCAGATTGCAGGCAAAAACTTTGAAGGGTGATCATGATAGTGCCTTCTGCGTCCTTCGTACAGGGTCTTGGGAATGTTAAGTCGTCCACAGCACTAACTCTAATTGTCCCGAAACCCCCATCCTGAGATTCATCCCCCTAAACCCTAAACCCTAAACCCTAAACCCTAAACCCTAGACCCTAAACCCCTACACTCCAAAGTTCCGCAAGAACCCTGGACTGAGCTGCCCGACAAGGTCTTCGTAGTTCGAATACTGCTTGGAGTCATCCTGCCCACAAAGTAAAGACAGGGTTTCGACTCTCACACTGGCACAAGCGGGCGAGGCAACTCCTGTCGAGATCTCTAGAGTGGGTGCATTGACCACCAGTAACGAACCAACCAGGGTCAGCATACCCTTCTCCTACATCCATCGGGTGTACGATTCCGGGCCATACCGCAGAAGAGCTGACTCCTGATCGATCCCAAGAAGGACAAACTCAGAACGAACCGGTACGTGTCCATTGGCCAACACAAGTTCTTTGACCCAGTTGGCGTGTCCAACGGGGGGGCTCAAACCATGATAGCTAACAGTATACCTCGATCACCTTGCCACCTCGAAAGCGAGCCTCCCCCATCGGGCCTGGTTGACTAAGCCTAGGTACACTGCGACCTAGCGAAGATACGTTGCCGCGAGCCTCCCGAAAAGCAAGTATCGACTCTGTCCCCACAACAACACAACCCGAGCGGCCATTCCTCCTAGAAAAGCAACGTGTGGCAAGGGGGCTATATGGGTGAGACTTCACTCTACTCTCAGCACTCGATATCCCGGGCAGCTGTCCATGGCTACACTCACACGGCGATGTACTTTTTACTCTGTCATCCCTGGGCGTCAGGAGGCGCAACTTGGCAGGCTGCGGCGGTCGTGCACACCGTCCATGCAGAGAGCATGCGCGTGGGACTCTCCAGTCCGAACTCGTGCAGAGCCCAGGCTTCACTCAGCGCGCAGTCTTGTAACAGGCAGTCTCCAAGGCAACCCTGTCTTTAGGGTTTAGTGTTTAGGGCGAAAACCCTAGGTTCATGAAGAAATGGAGCAAACTATATTAAAAGGGAGATGTGCCAAGACATTAAGATACATTGCCCTGCAAGGGTACACAGTTTTATCGGCACCATTCTCATGTGCAAAGGGTCTGTAGTTTTCTCTAAGCTTGGCTGCACTTAGGAGGGTAGCTATAATTTAAATTTTTAGCTGCCTTATTTAGAAACCCAATGAGCCCAAAAAGGCTAAAGATGTAAAGTTACAGCACCACAAAGTAAGGAAACAGGCCCTGGTGCCTTCCAGATCTGCCAGTGGGAGGCTGTGGAGACTGGTTCTTAGTCGGGCATTAGGGAATTGGCTACCCTGTATGCGATACCCTCATGTGTCTGGTCCCTTACAAGGAATTTACAGGGGGACGTGAGATACCCATTTGCCCCAGGGGTAGGTTTGGGGGCCCTAAATTTTTAGGGCTTTATAAGAACTGTATAGGCGATTAAGGGCTACTAAAAATCAACAAATATGTTCAAACCTGCCCATGTATTAAGAACCACCTTGCAAGCAAATTCACTCACACCGTGTAGTGAAACCCAAAGACGCGGGAACTTATCTCCTCTGGGGACCAGCAAAGGAAAGTCGGCAGCTGCAGTGGGGCTTTCGGACGAAAGCGGCCTCGGCTTTAGAGTTTGGGGGCTTGTAAGGCTTGTACGGGTTTGCTGGCTTGGGAGGGGTTTTAGGGGACGAAAGGGAGTCAGAAACATAACGCCCCCAAGCGCCCACCTACTGTGTGGCTTTCTCTAAGCATTGATGGGGAAATTCGTTTTGCAACACGCTAAACCCTAAACCCTTAAGCCCTAAATCCAAAACCCTTTGCTTGCAGGGGCTCGCCTGGGAAAAACCCTAAACCACACATTTTTTGCAAACACGGCGGTGGGATGAGGAGCGCCCACCGGCAATGCGGACCGCTACACCTCGAACTCCGATCCCTCGTACATGTATATGTATATATATATATATATCAAACCTTATATATATATATATATATGCTACCCCCCCCCCCCAGCGACCTACCCTTTTTAGGCCTTTTTAGGCCTTTTTAACAACAAATAACAAAGAAGGCCCAAAAGTCGCGTAGTTAATCACCGGGTAATGAAGGACAGTTACTGGGACACCCACCTCACAGACCCCGATAAGCCAGCATTGGAAGAATCTACATTTTGAATCTGAAGCGGACAATGCTGTTTTTAGATGTTTAGATCAATGTTTTTCTATGCAAATTGTGCCTTTCAAGGGCAATTAATGTTTTGTTGAGCAACTAATTTATTTATACAATTGTGTTTGTACGAGGCAAAGTATTAATCAAGTAGTGAAACATTTTTCTTGGTTCTATGCGAATTTAGCTACTAGAGTAATTATTCAGCAAAGAGCCCAATTTGACTCAAGTGAATACTATGTAAAGGAGCATACTCAACCAAGATACGAAATAAACACCATTCTCAAACAAAAATGGCAAAGTGTGCGTTTAAAGTGCAAATACTGTATTTATACAATTGTGTCTGTACTAGGCAAAGTATGCTCTCTGAAAAGTCCACTGAAATACCTTATGTTTACATATTCATGAATCGTTTTTATTCTTGAAATAATCATTTTATGCGAATTTAGCTACTAGAGTAATTATTGAGCAAATAGCCCAATTTGACTCAAGTGAATACCATTTAAAGGACCATACTCAACCAAAATACGAAAGAAGCAACATATTCAACCAAAATATGGCAAAGTGTGGTTTAAAGGGCAAATAGTGCTTTGTTGAGCAACTAATGCATTGAAACAGTTGTGTTTGTACCAGGCAAAGTATTATTGAAGTACTATCTGCAAAGTCAAATGAAACACCTTATGTTTACATATTCATGAAACAATTTTTTTGAAGTATTCATTCTATGCGAATTTAACTACTAGAGGAATTCTTAAGCAAATAGCCCAATTTGACTCAAGTGAATACTATTTAAAGGACCATACTCAACCAAATACGAAATAAACACTTGCGGAAATGGAAACGGTTCTACCTACATAACAATGAGACAAAGATTGCTGAAGTATTCACTAAAGACCACTTATATACTATGTCTGAAAAGCACAATTTGCATGAGCAAGCTTAAAAATGCACAATAATGGAAATAGAAGCGGTTCTACTTACATAACGATGAAACAAAGATGTCTGAAGTATTCAATAAAGACCACATATATACTAACGCAACTTGCACAATCAGGCTTAAAAAATGCACAAGAATCCTAGAAAAGTACTTAGTGAAGGCCATACACAAGCAAATTCACAAATACATAAAAACATCCAAAAGCGCAAGCTTTTCAGGAGAATCTCTGGTAAAGTTTGGATTATAGGGTTTTGGGGTACTCCTGGACGAGTAGGCGTCACTTTTTAAGCAAACAATTCTAAGCAATAAATGCTTTTTCTCAAGACAAGTATTGCAAATGCGGCTTCTAGATAATTAATCGCATTTACCAGGCAAATATTATCCATGCGAATTGAGCTACCAGAGCACCAAGTAATGGCTGAATAAGGTCTACTACACTTGAGTACAATCAAAAGATGCACTAACACTAGCGGCTCTACTTACATAATAACGAAACAAATAGTTCTGAAGCACTAGAAAGACCACTTGTATACTATTTCTGAAAAGCACAATTAGCATAAGCACACTTAAAAATGCGTAGTTGTTGCCTCGTGACCGTGAAGGCGAACCAAAAAGCCAAAATACCAAAACCAAAAAACCAAAAATACCAAAACCAAAAAAACCAAAAAAAACAAAACCAAAAAAACCAAAAATACCAAAAAAACCAATTTTCCGGGACTCTTGGAGAAGCCTCATAGGGATTTCCTGAGAGTCCCGGAAAATTGTTTTTTTTTTTGGTATTTTTGTTTTTTTTGGTTTTGGTTTTTTTGGTTTTTTTGGTTTTTTTGGTTTTTTTGGTTTTGGTTTTTTGGTTTTTTGGTTTTGGTATTTTTGGTTTTTCTACTGTCCCGTGTATGCGATTTTAGTTGTATTTTAGTCTACGCCCTAGGAAATACGCTATATTGCACACCGAGTTTGCTTGCAGTGCAGCTGGGTGACTTGAGACAAGGCGAAAAAGGGTAGGTCACTGGGGGGGGGGGGGGGGGTACCATATATATATATATATATATACCCTAAACCCTTCAGGGTTTAGAGTTTAGGTTTGGGGCTTCCTAGAACTGCTGCCTTTTTGGCGGGCACGTATCCCAGTGGCAAGAGGCCCAGCATCGCAGGACTTGCCATGAAGGGCATAGGGTTTCGGGCTTAGGGTTTAGGGTTTAGTGTTTAGGGCTCAGGGTTTGGGGCATAGGGTTTAGGAGCAGCTTTTTTCTGTTATACTGAGCATCCAAGCTTAACGAAGCCCCTAAATCCCAAAATATTTTTGCAGGATATTCGCATCCCTGGCAAGTGGCCTTGTGACAGCTGCGCCAGCTCCCGATGACCGCGGGCCGAGAAAAGAATCAAGTATCGAAACTTGTCCTGGTGTTAGGGTTTCGGGTGTTTCGGGTCTAGGTCCTGCCAGCAAAGGGGTTAGGGCTGGGAGAACCCTAAACTTAAACCCTAAACCCTACCCCAGAACCCTAAACCCTACCCCAGAACCCTAAACCCTAAACCCTAAACCCTAAACCCAGAACCCTAAACCCTGGGTTTCGGGCTTTGGTTCTCTTGCTGCCAAAGCCACATGGCATGACCAGGGTCTGAGGGCCTACGTTCTAGAGTATATGATATATACATGCATATCTCTATATATGTATGCATATACAAAGACATGTGTATGTATATATATATATATATATGTACGTTGTCAATGTATATATATATATATATATGTATATAGATATATATTTATATGTAAATACAAAAACAAATACACTACTACAACAGCAAATAATCAAAAACAAAAAACAATATAAACTAAGTATATATATATATATATATATATATCTATATATATATATATCCTAAACTGAAGTTCTGTTAGGCTGGGCGTTTAAGTTTTATGCAAGAAGTCATGTCCGCCCGGCTTGGTCCTGCAAATTTTGGCTTGGTGGACCATTGGTGGAATTGAAACTGCTATTGTCTAGGCTGCATGGAATAATGCAGATATCTCCTTTCAGCCCTTTCCCCCAAAACCCCCCGAAAGAGTTGGGCTCTTCAACATTAGGCTCAGAAGCAGAAGGGTTCACTGACCCTTCTGAAACCCCCAAACTACCCCGACGGCACCTCAAATCGCGGGTCGCCCTCTTGCGCCAACCCTGAGTTCCGCTGATCTTTCAGGGTCCAGGGTGCGGTAGAAGTTTGGGATGTTACCCCCTTTTTCTAGCAGTCCTGAATAGGGATGATAGTACCCCCCAATAAAAATCCCTATTGAGGACTGTTAGTATAGGGGGTCCTTAGTAGGGATGATAGCACCCAAGATTAGAATCCCTATTGAGGCCTGTTAGTATAGGGCAGGAGCATCCCAAAGTAGCAGCCAGTTTGGGGGCCTGGAAAGGTTCCAAGACTTTGGGCCGAGAGTGATGTAGGGGGGTCCCCTTTTATCAAAAAGAAACATCTCTGAATACCCATCAACATTGCGCTGCCCGAATAACCCGCCAAGGAGCTCGCAGCGTCAAAGGCCAGGCAGCCACCCATGTCAAAGCCACACCTTCAGGCTAAACTCGGGATGTTTAGGGGTTTGAAGAGGTCAGGGTTTAGGGTTTTAAGGGAGGTTAAGGGTGGATCTTGCTGTGTTGGCCGCCCCCCCCCCCCCCAGAAAAGAGACATAAAACCTTCTGTTCTCGGAAACAGTAAGCTCAACTTTCGTGACTACATATATATATATATATAATGGTACCTTTTGGCGTTTATTTAGGGCACGGAAACTTCTTTTGAGAAATGAACCATATTCCTTCTAAAAAAACCTGCATTCTTCTCGAAAGATGCACCCCCCCAAGCCGCTTCGTTGCATTCGACCCTCCAAACCCCTTGAGCCGAAGAACCTCCTTAGGCTCTAGGATTTAGGGTGAGGGTTTAGGGTTAATTGAACCTGTTTCCTGAGCAGCACTTAGGAGGGTAGCTATAAATCGAGTTTTTAGCTGTCTTATTAAGAAGCCCAATAAGCCCAGAAAGGCTAAAGATCTAAAGTTGCAGTAAAGCACAACAAAGTTTCGAGCCCAGGCCAAGGCACAGCCCATCGAAGGGACCGTGGGCCTTCAGGTGCTCGGCCAGGCTGTCGAGGACGTCTTCGTAGCCTTGGGGCCAGCATTCGGGTTTAGGGTTTAGGGTTTCGGGTTTAGGGTTTGATTGAAAAAGGATCATTAAGGCCTAGGGCCGACTTCACTGCCCTAAACCCTAAACCCTTTTCGCAACAGGCTTGTCAAACCCTAAACCCCAAACCCTGAAACCCTAAACACCAAACCCTAAATCCCCCAAACCCCAAACCCCAAACCCCAAAACCCCAAAACCCCAAAACCCCAAAACCCCAAAACCCCAAAACCCCAAAACCCCAAAACCCCAAAACCCCAAAACCCTAAAACCCCAAAACCCTAAAACCCTCCGGGAAGTCCGGGAAGCCGTGTTCTCCTGCCAACTTCTCCCCGGACAAGGCGGGCGCCGCGGCGGCGGGTCCTGGCGCTCTGCAGGGTTTGTGGGGGTTTGCACTCGGTTTTTTCTTGCCCACCCGCCTAGCTGACTCAGCAAAAAGGGTTTAGGATTTAGGGTTTAGGGTTTAGGACTTAGGGTTAGGGTTTAGGATTTAGGGTGTAGGGTTTGGGTTTTCGACTCTCACAGTCGCACAAGGCTTCGGTTGGTATGGTTTAGGGTTTGGGGTTTAGGGTTCGGGCTTGAGGGTGCAGGGCTCGTACTTGGAGGTTCATGGGTAGTTCTCGAGATTAGGGCGACTTTTGGGCCCTATGTATAGTACGGCATCTGGAGAAACGGTCAGTGCACCAATCAGTACACAGCTTCGCATTCTACGACCAAGAAAGATTAAGCAACCCTAAACCCTTAACCCTAAACCATCGCAAACCGCAGGTCCTAGCCAAGTCTCATCCTGATGACTCTCGTTCCACATGAACACGTAGCTCATGTAGCCTCTGGGCTTGGTTGCAAAGACCCCCTGGTTCTTAGTAGGGAATGGGAATGAGGTCCCTATAATCCCTTAACTCATTCCCTCATTCTCTACTAAGAACCAGCCAGAAGACCTTTCCTTTCGGCTTTCCGTCGGATCATTTCACTCTAAGGTTGTACCCTTGGGTTTGGGGGCTCGTTTTAACGGTTTCCTAAGGGAATATGTCGGGCCATCTTGGGAGCAGATCAAGGGAACCTCTTAGGGGTGCGAGTCTTAGTAGGGGATCCGAAGTATGGGCCCTTAATTAGGGCCCTCTGCCATATAACCCTTACATACTAAGGGCCCATACTTCGGATCCCTTTAAGTCCCTTTAAGCAAGGGCAAGGGGCCATACTAAGGGCCCATGGTTCCAACCTTAGACTTAAGCCCTTGATAGGAAGCCATCTTGGAGGCACCCTCAAATCCGAACCCCATCAACGCCAGTCTGTGGTAGGGGTCGTTTTGGCTACGGAGAGGTGCACACGTACTTCGAAAGCTAGATGTACCATCACTACTAGCTCTTGAGCAGGGTGGCAAGTGTTTTCATTAAAGTTGAAAGCCAATGCTAAACTCTAATTGTAATTTCCCTGCCTAGGACTGGAACATTAAACAACACGCATAACTAAACAAAACTAAATAAAAAAACACAAACATGTTAATAATAATAAGCCCCACTTGTAACTGACCTGCCTCCAAGTAAGCCCGATGCAACCGCAGCATCCTCGACAAACAAACAATAGACACGCAGACGAGCGGCCGTCGTAGCTGTCCCCACACTTCTTGCCGTACGGGATGAAGATCCTGCGTGAGGAATGCACTAAGAAATCTTCGCTGCTACCCTTAACTGGGGTATGTTTGGGGGCCCTATGCAATTTAATTGTTTATAAAGATTATATAATAGGAAATGAAGGGTAACAACACTTTAAAAAAAGTTAAATCCTGCCTATGTTAACCCGCTGGCGGTGCTCAGCATTCTAAGGCCATGTTGAGAGCAGCCCCAGATCCTGATACTGGGTGCCTGCTGCCTACTATGTTCCAGGCCCGATTTGTGAGGGGGATCTAGAAAATAGCCCCTGAACTCTCCACAGTAGGGTGAAGTCATCTTTAGGGGCTTAGGTTCTATAGACGGCTTATGGGGTTACTATAGGGGCCTTTATAATTAAAACAGTTTTTTTTGTTGGGGGGGGGGGGGGGGGGTTATGATAGTCTAATTTTATAATTAGGGACAATAAGGGAACAATATTCGTAATTCTTCCGACCCCCATATTACAGGTTGAGGGTGAAGTCATCTTGAAGATTCAGGGGGCTCAGGGGCGATCCATGGGTGGGCAGGTGCGGACTCCGAAAACCAGAGCCCTGTATATCCCTTTGTGAGCCCTACTGTATCCCTAAACCCAAAATCCTAAATCCCAAAATCCCTGCAACTGGCTTGCCATGCCAAGCAGCTGCTGCACAGCTGGGTCGGCGTGGATTTCCTTTTAAGACACAAAAAGGGCATGCAAATAAATGATGAAAGCCTTTGGGGCTCTCTAGCGCGCTTTAGGGTATTTGAGATGTTCATGCCGTAGCTGCTAGAGGCTTGGCACATACTTGGAGGTTCATGGGTAGCTATAAGTAAGGTTATAAGTCGGGTAACTATACTTATAACCAAACTTAGGATACTTATAACCCTAATAATAACAACCCATGAAATCTCTCAGTAGTAATGCCTGGGCATGCGGAGTCCATGACACGGCATCGCCTATGTTTGAAGTCGCCATTGTCTGAAATACATTAAGCACCCTTTCTTTTTGGGGGGTGGGTTTTGTGGACAAGGAGCTCAAACTATGACAACCCCAAAGTCCCAAAGATGCCCAAGCTTAGCACACTCCCCACACTCTCAAAGCTCCTCCAGCTTGTGGTTGATGGTCCCCTTCCAGGGGGGATTCGCTGGTTCGGAGGCGCACTTTCCTCTCTATTGAACCTCTGGAAGCTTCATGCCACACCCCAAGGGCTTCGTGCACAACGCGACCTCTCTCTCTCTCTCCCTCTTTCTCCCTCTCTCTCAACGCAAAGATATATGTATATATATATATATATATATATATATATATATTTATTTACCGACAAAAGGTGTATATTGAAAGGTATAATCACGGTTTTGCACTCGGGGCTTCAGGTTTCTGGTGGAAGTGGAAGAGTTCGCAGACGAAATTCGGATCGACAACGCCCTCCCAAGTCGGCCTGGTCGGCCTGGAAACCCACCTCCTTTTAGTCCCTAAACCCTAAACCCTAAACCCATAACCCATAAGCCTAAACCCTAAACCCTAAGCCCTCCTTCAGACGCCTCCAGAAAATGCCACTCCAGCACGTTGAAGTCGACCACCCATCGGAGGTTCCTCAAGCTCAAGCTTGGTCGCTCTGCGCACGTCTCCTTCTATAGATTCGGCCACCTAAACCTACGAATTGCATAAGAACCCTCAAAAAACGAAAATAAGATTCTCCCTTGAAATATAGGGACTATTTTCTGTGTTTTGGGGGGTTCTTAAGCAAATAGCAGAAAAGCGGAAGAACTGTACAGTCGCGTGTAAGTGCATCCAGGCAGCTTGAACACAGCTGTCACCTGGCCGGAAGACTACCCCATGACCCTGTCCCTGATCAGTGGCTTTTCGGATTGTTGTGGGGCACCTGCATCCTCCCACCGTTGAATGCCGTTGCCAGCCCAGTAAGGCAGGGCACACAGGATGCCAAGTCGGCTGCGATATCCCCCCAAAAAAACCCAGGCTTGTGTGACGTAGCTTCTTGGGGACTCGGACTCGACGGCTTCGGGGGGACCCCAGGGTTGCTGACTCGGCAGGATCACGTTGACGTCACCCACCGGATTTGTGTCAAGCCCTGAACCCTAAACCCTAAACCCTAAACCCTAAACCCTTTTCCCTAAACCCTCCGCCCGGACTGGTGCATCTGGACCCTGCCTGCTTCTCCGCCATGGCCGTGTTCGAGCCAGGGCCATGCAGGTACAGAACCTTGCGAAGGTGGTACCACGAGCGGTCGAGCTGCTTGCTTTTTGGGTTATATATATATATATATTTTTTTTCTTTTGTAAAAATGATGTTTGATGTTTGATTTCATGTGCTGATTCTCAACCAGTACTTAGGTTCCGAGCACTCGCCACTACTAATGAAGGCCCAATATGGGCCTAGTTTTATTATACTTGGAGGTTCATGGGTGCTATAAGTACCCTAAGTAGGGTTATAAATATACATGCTCTACTTATAACCCTGCTTATAACTACCCATGAACCTCCAAGTAGCGCCCGCTTGAAGTGTTGAATGCCAGGGGGCAAACACAACGCATGCAGTCTACTAGGGCAGGTTTGCGGGCCCTATAAACATAAATTGTTTATGGCTTCATACTATAAGTCTTTAAGGATTATATAGGGGATTCAGAGTATGCTCAAACCTACCCATGCCTAGGTACACTGCACATGTGTGTGCTTTTCACGCACTCTCTTTCTTGGAGCAAGCTGCACGCATTCATTGCTGTAAATCCTCTCCATCGCACGCCGTCCCATTTTTCCAGACACTGCAAACCAAGGCTTAAACAGAAATAGCCAGGTCTGTCGCTGCTGTGTTCACAAGGCCGCGGCTGTCATAGAACCCTGACTGCAGCCAGAAGTTGCATCGCGCAACATTGTAACGCTGTGCGTTCTCATCCTCTACCCCGAGGTCGATCACGTTATAGTCCTTGGGTTTCAGAAACCACAGCAACTAAACAGTCTTCTTCCTCAAAACCCCTGCCATGTATTCTCCCAACGTAGCGCCGCCTAGCATCCCTGAATTCCCCCTTAAACCCTAAACCCTAAACATCCCTAAACCCTGAACCCCGAACCCCAAACCCTAAACCCTAAACCACAGCCAAGACGCAGGCAGCAGTTCGCGGGACTTGCTGACATGCCCCTCAGCTTGGCCTCTCGTGGAAGTGGAGAACCGCTGCCAGGCCTGGACATCTCCGCTCGCCGCGAACTCGAGCATCCTGTGGGTTTGGGGTTTAGGGTTTTGGGTTTAGGTTTAGGGTTTAGGGTGCCGGGTGAAGGGTTTAGGGTGGACCCTGACTTGGAGATTCAGGGTACCTTTAACCCAATTTTACGTGTATCTATAACCCACTTATAAGCCCCTTAAGTACCCTAAAAGGGTTTTGATTGGGTTATAAGTGCAATTATAATTGGGTAGGGACCCCTCAAATGGTAGGATTTTCCTTATCAGATGGACCCCCCCAATAAGGTGCCCCTACTATCGTAAAACCCCCTCCTGGCTCGCAGCCGTTGCCCCCAGGCTTTGTCTTCTGCGGTGAAGTTGTACAAGAAATGAGGCTGCAGCATGGCAAACTCATCCATTGCGTGGAAAGCAAAGCGAGGGCAATACGGCGGCTTCATCTTTGTGAAGTTTGCAATGACGCAGAAGGGCTTGCTGAGATGTCTGGATGCAACATATGAGAACACGGGAGAGGCGTGCCGGGGGCGCTGTGCATCCATGACCCCCGCAAGATAGAAGTTGGGACAAACGGTCGTCATGTCACTGAGGATTTCAGCATATCTCTGCTGTGGTTCCCAGTCGTCGCTGAAGCCAGTGAGACCGTAAAGTCTCCCGAGCTCTTCCGCAAACGCAGGCTCCTGGGACTTGCCAGCGTATCCTGCCAGGAGTTGCATCAGCTGGCTTCGAGTGAGGCGCCGAACATCTTGGCCGGGTGCAAAATCGCTTTCTTCGCGAGTGACCCCGAGAATTGCGGGTACAGCTCCGTGCTTGGAGTCTTGAAAGGCTTGGAGATAGCCCTGTGGCAAGATGCCGCCCTCGCCATCAACAAGCAAGAGGGGCGCATACTGCCAGGTAGGACTGAAAATGTCAAGCGACCAAACGTCCGCGTGCCAATTGTCGGGCTGGGCTTGCAACAGCTCCCCAGCAGACAGGTGCAGCAAACAGTCCAACAACTCCTTCTCCCTTGGTTTCTGAAAGCCTATCTCCGCACAGGGACTTCGCTCCACAACCTCTCTGTGCCAATACTCGGCTGCTTCCTCTGTCGTACTGTTTAGCTTTGGCGATCCACTCATGCTTACACCCCTGTGGAAAAGACCTCAGGGTCTGAGTACCCTAGTCGAAAAGAACGCTAACCTTTTTGTTTTCACAAACGCGAAAATGTTAAAGGAGACCCCCCAAAACCCTAAAACCCTCAAGCCCTAAAAGCCCTAATCAAAACTCTAAAGCTCTAGAGCTCTAGAGCCCTAGAGCCCCAGGCCTCTCGCGGCCGGGGACGCAAGTAGCGCCAGCACCTATACTCCCCTAAGAACCTTAACAAAAAATGACATTTTTAATCTCCTCTTGGGTTTTGGGTTTAGGGTTTAGGGTTTAGGGTTTAGGGTTTAGGGTTTAGGTTTTAGGGTTTAGGGTTTAGGGTATATTATATAAACAAAAACATAAAGAATAATTCCCAAGGGGATATAGGCACAAGGGATCCACCGGAGCTCTGCCCCCAAACGGTGACCTGCTCCGGATCACCTGGGGGGGGGGGGGGGGGAGTGGGTGGCTTTGGGTTTGGAGTTTAGGGTTTGGGGTTTGGGGTTTAGGGTTTAGGGTTTAGGGGTTCGGGTTTTAGGGTCAAGGGTTTCGTGGTTGAACTGAAGGTTTACAGCAGTACAGCAAGGAAGGGCTCTTTCGAATGCGAAGAGGTATCATCCACTTGTGGGGCACTTTTGGGAAACTCCTCACCTCCAAAGGCTCTGATGTTGCCTTGGATCCAACGAAGCGCCTCCAATCAGTCTATGTAGGGTTTAGGGTTTAGGGTTTAGGGTTTAGGGTTTAGGGTTTAGGGTTTAGGGTTTAGGGTTAGGGTTTAGGGTTTAGGTTTAGGGTGTAGGGTTTAGGGCATCCACCGAAGTGCCTCCAAGCAGTCCAGCAGGCCATAGTTCCCCGAGGTGCCACGCACGTCGTGGTGGGAGAGCGATGCCAAAGACAGGAACCCGGCTACTCCTTGGGGTTTAGGGTTTAGGGTTTAGGGTTTAGGGTTTAGGGTTTAGGGTTTAGGGTTTAGGGTTTAGGGTTTAGGGTTTAGGGTTTAGGGTTTAGGGTACTACCGTAGCCCCACAAAAGGTTAACCTCATATATATATATATATATATATGTACATGTGTATATATATATATATATAGTAGGATTCCATATAACCCAAAAAGGTTAAAGGTTACCTACCCAGCCCCCAAGATTCCCAAACGGTACTGCACGGAGACCACAACGACGTCGTTCTCCGAGGTCAAGTTGGCCTGAGCTCCGTAGCCAGACTGTAGCGCGAAGGGAGAGCCCTCCAGGAGTCCGCCGCCATGGAGCCAAACAAGCACCTACACTGATTTCGGAACCCTAGCAAGAAATTGTGATTTTTGCTGCTTCTTAGGAATTACAGTACCCAGATTTAAAAAAAAAAAAACACGCTGTTTCTTAGGAGTTGCAGCACCCCCACCCCCCCCCAAAAAAAAAAAAAAAAAAAAGAAAGCTATTCCCAAGTATCTCTAAAGGCACAGGCCTCAGCTTCCAAGCGCGTGTCGCAGAACTTCGGGCAGCCGAGCTCCTTGCTCGCGCCTCCAAGTTCTTGGTGTGGACATGAAGGCGCAAGCCTTAGCTGCTGAGTTCAAAAAAGGCCCCCCCAAAAAAGTACACTTTCAGTTTCTGTAGGGGTACAGTTTCGGTTTCTGTAGGGGGTTTAATAGTATCCCCAAAAAGGGTAAAATGGTGTACTCACTCAGCTACTATAAGAAGCAGTCTTCGGAGCTCTGCACCCCGTGGCTAAAGTGGCTCCCTTGAAGGCACGCCTAGTTCATTGTTGGGATAAGATTAAAAATTCATGTTTTTTCTTCCTTGTTGGGTTTAAGTACCCTTAAAAATGTTAAATGTTTCCCAACTATGACAAAGACGCAGGCCCAGGCTTGGTTGCATCCAACAGGCCCTTCCAGCACTCGGAGCGTGCTCCGGGAAAGGTGCCGATGCCAACCTTGGTAGCCCAGCAACCATGTTATAATAAGGGCACCCTGTTTTGAGTTGGTTATTTTAGATTTGAGTTGGCTCTTTTAAAAATTGTATAAGGGAAACCATAACCAAAAAAAGGGTTTAAAGGGTACCACTGGGCTACCAAGCAACTGGAGGCTGCCACCTCCGAACTCCGATGGGGGGCAATGCGTAGGGAATACCCAGGAAAGCCGCAGACCCCGATGCGGCGTCGACAGTGCCTCGGAGGGTTCCACATGTCACGGTCGCCACTGGTGCCTCCTCCGTTATTCCCATGTCAGCCGCCGAGAGCCAGACCGCCAAGATGATCAAATAACCTTGCGCCATGGCCCTTGTGCGACCCCTGCAACCTTGAAGAAGCGACGTCAGGAGTCAAACCGCGGGCTTCAAGGGCTTAAAGGGCTTGAGGCCTCAAAACTGGGAAGAGCCGAATTCAACGGATAGTAGCCTAGACCCAGGATTGCCTTCCATCACCTGGCATTCCACCCGAACATCGACACACTGTCCACGTGTCACGCACAGGGTTTAGGGTTTAGGGTTTAGGGTTTTCATGTAAATCCTCTGAGCTGAAACGTGGCTGCGATGGGTACTTATAACCCTACTCATAACTACCAATGAACTTCAAGTGGAGTCCGGCTTTTAGGAATGGAGCGCTTGAAGGAAGGAATCTCATTCGCATCTTCTACGAAAATTTAGGGTTTAGGGTTGAGGTTTTAGGGTTCGCAGGGTTTAGAACTGACAGGTGCAACTACGTTTTTGCGCTGAAAGAGGTTCTGAACTCGTCTTGCCCATGCATACCAGGTACACAGGTACTTCGGGAGGAGCGTCTCTGCTGGAAACTTCCAGGCGTGTGTCAAGCGGCATCCCGAATACCCTTCACCCCAGTCCAACAATCCCTGGCAAAGGATGATCAACACGAGGGAACGCTGATTCTCTGGAGCGAGGAGAACGACAGCTGAATTTTGCGCCTGGATGTCGGAATTTCTGGAGCCCTAAACCAAAACCCGCAATTCGGAAACCCTTCGCATGCTTAACTCTGCTCTGTATCGAAACCTAAGCAATCGTATTCGACTATTCTGTTGTTCTAGTATGATAGAATAATGCCGTCGATTACGCTCTTCTACAATTGCGCGACTGTGCTAGCATGCTAGGATGGCCATTAAGATCCTCTGAAAAATACTCTTAAATATGATCCTCCTAAGCCCAACAAGGGAAAATATAAAATGTCCCAAGGGCTTTCCTTAAACCCTAAACCCTAAACCCTAAACCCTAAACCCTAAACCCTAAACCCTAAACCCTAAACCCTAAACCCTAAACCCTAAACCCTAAACCCTAAACCCTAAACCCTAAACCCTAAACCCTAAACCCTAAACCCAATACAAAGCAAGCAGCCTTTTGGAGGCGCTTCGTTCCACCGCCGAAGCCTTTGCCCTTGGGCCTTCAGCAATCGCATGGAGGCTTGGGCTGAAGCTTCGAGGCGCTTTAGGGCTTTCGGGTTTAGGGTTTCGTTTAGGGTTTAGGGTTTAGGGTTTAGGGTTTAGGGTTTAGGGTTTAGGGTTTAGGGTTTAGGGTTGAGGGTTGAGGGTTGAGGGTTTAGGGTTTTTTGCCACCCGCCAAGCAGTCCAGCCGCACCAGGGTAACATTTCGGGACGATGTACAGTTTCAAATGTGTTTCAAATGTGTCACTACTGTGTCTGTTGTTGCTGGGGCCCCCCAGATAGTCATTGATAACCCTTCAGATTCATGGGGAGCGGGGTACTTAAGTTTTGCAGGGGCGCCCTTCGTGAGACAGTGTCCGCGGAGCATGTTCGGGGGCACTCATACCTAGGGCTTATACCATGTGTCCGGGGGGGGATATTGGGGGGTCATAGGGTGCTCGCGTCCACGCCAGAGGCAGCTACCTGGGTTCCGGGGGTCTGTCCTCCCATCCTGTAGGCATCAACCGGTACCCCACAGGGTTTAGGGTTTAGGGTTTAGGGTTTAGGGTTTAGGGTTTAGGGTTTAGGGTTTAGGGTTTAGGGTTTAGGGCTGACCTGAACCCTGCACCCTGAATCTCAAGCCCCAAGTCCTAAACTCGAAATCTACGCAATCATTCGAAAGCCATGAGCTGTGAACCATCGCCTGACTTCAAGACTCGAGCCGGAACACAGTTCAAGCCAAAACCCACTGAAAGGATCTAACAGGGCTTAGGGTTTAGGGTTTAGGGTAGTTAGAGGAATTATTAGGGTTTAGGGCTAATATGGGGGGGCCTGAATAATTAGAACAGGGTTTTGGAGGTTTTTATAGTACACCTATAAAGGGACGCTAAGGGAATGCTAGTAGTAATCATTCCGACGCCTATAGTAGACGGAGTCACCTGCCACAGCCCACTTTTTTTCATTTCATGCCGGACCTGGAGCCTCAGAGAAACTGGGCTGCCATTACGGCCTTCAACCTACTAGTAGACTCCCAAAAACCAGTGCCCCCTAATTACTGATTGCCTTTTTCCATCTATATCCCCTCAGTTGTCATGCAGACGATTCCCGCGTGCACTTCCCCATCCAACTTCCCCCTGAACCCCGCACTGACCAGGAAATCACGGCCTTGGATGGCGGCATGCACCAGGAATCGCGTCCTGTCGTGAGGGCGCGTGCATTAGAGTCCCTACAGGCGCACATAATAGCTGGCTAGGTTGTCCAGCCAGAACAAGGTTCACCTTTGAGCATGATCAAGGGGTTTAGGGTTTACAGTGCCAAAGGGGTCCAGGGTCTAGGGTTTACAGTACCAAAGCACGCAAGGTGCTAGCAAGCCCCCAGCGATGAGAAAGGCTACATGCTCAGAGCCTAAAGCAGACTGTTAAGCTGCTAGAAGCCGTTGGAAAGGATCTTGGCCCTAACAAGCCGCCTAAACCTAAACCCTAAACCCTACACCCTAAACCCGGTTCCGCTACTTGAAACCCTACTTAGAACTACTCATGGTGTTGGGTTTCGGCTTTAGGGCTTTGGGGTTGAGGGCTTAGGCACAAGCAGAGCCCCAACCAATCTTCACGAATCTTCACTTTCAGGCGGCAAGGTTACAATGTCGGTTCGGCAGTGATAAAATGAAAGAAACGCCTTGCACTCGGCAGGGACTGCTTAAATCCACGTTGTACGAGCGGGCGTGTTTGTTACCCCACAAGTCAGAAGTTACCCCAGCCCCCTAGCACAGAAGTTACCCCACGTGTGCAGAAGTTGGCCCAGAGGCCGTTCCCCGAGGGCACAGCGGTGTTCAAGAGCCACGTTTTCAAAACCATTTCGGACTTCACACGACCGTACCCTCGAGATTGCCGCTGCCAAGGACTCTCAACACAAGCCAAAATCATCTTCAACGGTTGGCCGCCCCGCAGGGCACAGGCTCTTTTTCTTGAAGAATGCAGCTAAATTACAGGGAGCCTTCACACCGCCACACCTTTGAGACACTGTTCCAAGTACCCCAACCGAGCCAGATTACAGGGAGCTTGTCATCATGCAGTGGCATTCGTCTAGATATCCCGGGCGCCAAACAGTGCGACGGAGACTGTGGTTTAAAAGGCTGACCTGCCACCCAGAAAGCTCCGGCAACAAATCGGTAAGTTGGCCGACCGACGCCCAGCCCACTAAGGCACTAAAGCGAGCAACGACACATACGCCAAAGGGAGCTCAACTTCTGCTTCAGGGTTTGTGGCCTTTCCCGAATGGCACGCCCGCACAAGCCATCTGAGAACATAGCCCATGTGACATGGTATCACAGTTTTGCAGCGTTCCCCGAGGGCACAGCGGGATTGGGACAACTTCCGTCTTGCGGGACAACTTCCACATCTACTCATGTAGCAACTCCCCAGAACAGGGTTGTTGCAAATTTTGGAAGAAGCTTAACACACAAAAAGGGTGACTCCGCCCCTGGAGGCCTTCCTCTGATCAGGTTTAGGGTTTAGGGTTTAAGAAAATTAGAAACAACATCCGACAAATCAATGCTTGAAGCCCGAGCAAAACCGAGTCCATTCCAATGTACTAAATGCCAAATGCTCCAAGCCCAGAAAGAAACCGTTTGAACCCTAAACCCATTTCACTCCAACCCTAAAAACCTCACAGGCTGAATACCCTAGCCCAAAGAAGGTGAATTCTTTATACATAGCAGGATTCTATGAGCCCTCTAAACCCCAAAAACAAACCTAAACCCTTTTTTTGCTCCAACAGCCCTCAGAACACAAGTAAGCCCCCCTTTAAGCCCCCCTTAAGCCCCCCCCCCCCCCCCCAAAGGGCTCCGGCTGCCGCTGCTGCGCCAGCGTCGCCCGCAGCTCCGCGGGCGTTGGGCCAAGAGATGCCTGGGACGAGGCGCCGGGCTTCAGCACTATAAGTGCTAGTAGGACGTTAATGTTTCATTTTGTTGTTTGATACTAATTTTGTATTTTACGGTATGAGATGACATTGTATGATAACATCATTTTGTTTGTAGATTTGAGAATGAACCAAAGATACTCCTTTGGCGGGCTGTCAACAAGCATCGTTCAGCGAAACAAGGCGTCTCTTGATCGAGGCGTGTAAGGAGGATAGGGGCGTCTCCAGCCAGAACAAAGCCTTAAATGAGCATCGGATGTAGACTTTTGTCAAGGCTTGCTTCGTCTGACATTCTCACGGCAGCAGGAATAGGCGTCCAACGCCTCCCAACAACTGACGCTATCAGACCCCCGCACTTATCGACCACGTTCTTGCCAAGGAAGGTCGTGCGTCACAAATTTGTGTTCCAAGTGCTCATCCAGAAGAAGCACCGCCCCTCTGTTGTCAAACTCTCCACAGTAGTTGGACGCCGTAAACACTTGAAGCAGCCGATCACCAAGCCGCGCTTCCTTGCCTTCTTCCAGGACTCGTGGTGAACAACACATCTTTTCCAAGCCGTTCTTTGTCAGAAACTCTTCCACCACATCTAGACCGAAGCACATCTCAATGGACTTATCACCATCTTCCCAGCCTCGGACGTGGTCATCATAATAGGCAAAGAGCAGATCACAGAGCAGGCCGTGATCTGGTATATCTGTAGGCCGGTGTATCTTTCGCAGGTCATCGAGGCTCTGCAGGAAAGGGGACAAGCCAGAAGGAACACACAAGATGCGCTCCTGAACCAAAGCACAGATGGGCATGCTGTTGAAGACCCGCACAAACTCCTTCCAGATTCGCACGCTCAGCTCCTTCTTCTTGCACTCATCATAGAAGCCATAGATCCTTGACAGGCTCAAAGTCTCAAACTTTCCACGCAGCAAGTGTATCCTCTCTGGATACTTCTTCTTGTACAGGAGCAGGAGCGTCAAGGTCTCCACTGCTCGATGCCCCCTG